CATAGGTATCGATCTAATCACGGTCTGATTTGCTCTTAACACCTGATCTTCCAGAAAATGATGGCCGAGTAGTCCTTCCAAGTGAAGTTCCATTTAACTGAATAATTGTTCTTCCTGATTGTCATCATAGTCGTCTTCTGAATTGTCCAAGTCATCTAGTTCCTTTATCATTAAACTAAAATAATTCATCAAAATTAACATTGACATCCTCTACTTCGTTCTTTAAACCCGAGTATGCGACCTAAACCAAGTGTTATCTTCTATTGAAGAGGGTTCACGCGAGAACCAAGCGCAAATGAAAGCAGAATGAGCGTGTAAAGGGCATGCGGCACAAAGACTCCCGTTCCGCGCGTTTGTGTATTGCAGACAATTCACGCGTCCGGAGACGCAGGAAGTCTAAACAGGAGTTTCTGCAAAGGCGCCGCCGCGCTCAATGTGTTAAAGACAACTCCCACGATCACGTGTTATAGGTAGCAGATGCCCAATCATGAACCAGTAGCCCATAAGTATCTTCCAAAGCAGAGGAAAAAACCTGCTCTTTGAACAGAGACGACGACAACGCGCCTCCGCTATGTTACTCTCCTGAACTGCTCCCACTCATTCTCTTTTCGTTGATGTCTCGGCACTTATTGGAATGAACAAAAAAGTAGCAAATTTGATTTCATTTATTACACATAAAACAATTAATACAACGTAAACACTGACAAGTTAATAACTGTAACACATACTTCCTTGGAATGTACAATAATAAAGGGAATAAATTGGATAATGCAAGGATAACTTGCAACGATCAACAGTGAAATGTCTAGAATTACTATTATTATTGCTAATTACAGTACCAGAGGTGTTATTTCTGCCAGTGGAACTAATTACCTATAGCGTACACATGTTTGCAGCGTATCAAACTAAAGTGAACAAATTGGGTAAAGCAAGGAGAACATGGAACGATCGAGGAAAATAAGTTTAAAATGCTCAGTAACCGGATTATTATTCAATGAGCGTACTAGAGGTGTTATTTCTGCTAGAAGAAACACCTCTGGTACGGTCCCAGCCATCCACTGACAGCAATAACCGTAAAAAAAATTAGCTCCTATGAATCAGAGATTCACTTCTTAGGAGCGGCCATGATGGGGATAGACCTTTTCTGCGTCTGACCCTCGATACTCTTTGGCGCTTCCACGGATAAATGACCCTTGTCGTCGAGCTGAGTACGAATTGCCTCCAGGTCGACATTCTCAGGCAGCAACCATTTGCGGGTGAATGATCTGAAATAAGAGAAGCGATCAATATCTATCTAATGCACATTGCCCAATGAAGTAGAAGGTAGGACTTACCTATGAATGGCGCTGTTCTCCGATTTGTGCTCCTGCTTGCCTTCGATGGTCAGTTCACGCCCCTCCAAGTGCACATTCAACTGCTCTGGGCGAAACTGCGACACATCCAACGAAACGGCGAACTTCTTGTCGTCATTCACAAGCTGCAATTACTATCGATTTTGCATTTGTAAACGGCCAAGGGTTACCAAGGGCTATCCAGAAAAAAGGGCCATAAATATTCCAGGTTTATTGCATACCTGCTGGGTTTCGTTTGCCACATGAAGCACCGAATGATCAGCTTCTCTCCAATACGGGAAAATGCTTCTTTCAAAACGATCCATATCCCTCATGGTATCGTACATCATGCGGTTCATCAGACGATTCACCGGCCACAAATCCATTATTGTTCGATTGATTGATTGATTGAGAGTTTACTGGAACAATTCTATTGATCAATTGGCTCCCATCCAAATGTCTAGGCGAGCGACTAGTTAACGAGGCGTGATAGGGTTCAGACACGGCATGGAACAATAGAAACATGGATGTCTACACATAGATCAATCGAAATCTGTGACCCAAAGGGAACATGCACAGGAATTAGAAGCAGAAAAAACAAAATATTGGAAAAATTAACACTCCAAAGCACGATGATCCGTTTCGCTTGCTACCTTACATTAGACGAATGATAATTGTTTCGCCAACGCCAAGCTCATCAGTAAGGCAGGGTCGACGAAACAAGGACACGGACTACACAGGGATGAGAAAAAAAAGATAAAATGAGAGGAGTTATAAATTAAGCACATATTTCGGCACAATTAACCCTAAAATTTCCCCAGATGCCAGCGTAGTTGAGCGGAGCTATACTCGAAATCCCTGAGATCGGGTAGGCGTGGCTGCATGCTTCAACTTAACCTGAAGGTGTCTATGCTTCTGGTGGATATTTTCATCTTGACACAATTGTTGTCGTGTCTCTGTCCAACACAGAACAAGATGACAGTTGTCCCAGACTGGAATATTCCACGAGTAACCAATTCCGTGCCATGTTGAATGCCACGCCTACTCTGGCTCAGGGATAAGGAGTGTAAATTGCTGCGCGGCAAGTCTGCTCTGCTCTTTACCTTCGCCAGGAAATCGCAGAACTATGAACAGAAACAGTAAAGAAATGGAATAGAAAGGGGTTGAGCATCATGACGGAATACCGCTGGCAGCCCTCACGTATATAATTCTCGGAATGTTGTCGTGTTACCACTTCACCCGTTACTTGCGGTGAATCTGCCAAGAGATCTGGAGCTTGCGCAAGCAATTAACTGGGGTCAGGCGACAGACAAGCATTGGGAGATACAGCGATACCTCACCCTACTCTACCGTACTCCTACACATTCCCCACCACACACCGTTCCTGCTAAAATACAACTATCTCAAATGGAGCAATAGGAGAATTCGAGAAGATCAGGATGTCCCCCATAGACATCAAAGTGAAAGGAATACTAGTTTTGTGAAAACTATAGCATGAATGAGTTGCAAAAACACAAAAACAACAGCTTTCCAATATGAAACCCCCGGAAAAGGAACTCCTGGGTAGAATTGGGTGACTGTAGCAGGAAAGATGCAAGCACTACTGGTATATACGGAACATATCCTGTCGTGGAACAGCAAAGGCAGCTGCTTATATAGCCACGGAGCGCCCTGCTAGAGCGTTCCAGAACGTTTCGCTATCTCCGCCACTCTCTCGTGGCCCCGCCCCGCCGATGCGACAACGGGAGGGGGTGGGGCAAGAAGGTTCGCGAAGAGTTCCGAAGAACCTCTCCGAATCGTATATAAGTGGCTCTGTGGATGGTGACTCCAGTCATTCGAGTCTGACTTTCCTGAGCTTCAACGATGTCTATCTGCATTCTTCACAACGGTTCTCTGCCAAGTGTGCTGAACGAGGTCTTCAACGAACTCGACGACGCTCTCGGCCAAGTCCTCCTGGTGAGACCACCTGCTTCTTCTCCTCCAAAGGGGAATAATGAAAAGAAAGCCGTGATGGGTCAAATGGGCAAGGTAAGTCATGGTTTCATGGGCATTCTGCCTCTTTTACCGTATTCATCACTTTCAAAAGAACCTTTGCAGGTTACCGATGACGGGTCAAAAATGACAGTCGCCTTGAATGTTTCAAAATTCAAGCCAGATGAACTGAAAGTGAACATCGATGGCCGAACCCTTACCGTAGAGGGTAAACAAGAAGTCAAAGATGGCTCGAGTTACACGGCCAGGTAAGTCTTTAGTCCATAAACTCTTGAGAAAAATTCTCTCTGGTTGCGAC